ATGGCGGCGGCGGCGGCGGCTGCTGTGTTTGGTCCGAGGAGCTACACGAGAAAAGGCCTTTTTTGAAGCGGGCACTGGAAAGTTGGGAGGGGTTGGCCAAGGGGCTCTCCTCTCGCAAATCCATGGGGTGGCCAGGCCATGAGGCAGGGTTCCCCCTCTCCGCTTATGCTGTGTATGAGTGTCTTTCCTTTCAAATGATCCCAGCACATGTTATTTCCTTGAGTGCTGGTGAAATTAATTTATTTTCACGACCTGGACCTTTGACGAAGGGGGTGAAGGAATCTACATCAGGTTTTTTTCAGAAACAAATTAATCAGCCTGTTACATGGAGTGAGAGTCCATAAACCAGTAGCACCCTAAGCTGTCGTCTAAAACAACCAACGCTGTGATCTCACTAATCAAACTTAGACGTGGTTTACCATAACACAGAAACATGGATTCAGGCCTCCCAGGATCTTGAATACTCAGGATAGTATGGAGGATGTTCCCTACTGTTATGAACTCGTCTCTTGTCTCCTTTAAAAGTGCTTTCTAGGAAAACTTCTGTGAAAAGTTCCATCACCTGCTTCTCTGCTTTAAGTCATATAAAGTATTAATTAATAGTAGCCTTTTTAGCCTAAGCTTTTCCCTATTGCATCTCAGCAGAGATGTACACATTGCACCAGGTCCTCAGCTGGGGGAATAGCAGCATCAATCTTCTGACTTTGATGGTGCTGCATCCATTTTCACCAAAAATCTGATCTCTTATACTTAATTTGTCACAACATCCACAGCAGCAAGAGTTGTTGAAAGCAGTACCATTGTCTCATAACTTGGCACCATCAGTGCATCTTGGCAAAGGGTTTAACATAGCTGAATTTTCCCCAACGAAACAATGACTCATTTTGCCAAAGCTCAGCCTGAGAAATTGTAGAAAATTATTATAAATGGTGCTGGGAAAGGTGGGCAAACATGTCAGTATTATCATTGTCATGTCAGTGTGCTTCAGTGGCAATATAGCACATCAGCTCTGCCATATGTGGACTCTGCTAGGGTTTTGGATATGAGGTTCTTTATGGCCGTTGTCTTGTAATTGATGTGGTTGCTTTTCCCTGTGCAATGTGAGTACAGTGTGGCTGTAAAAAGCTACCATTCTGATTTGCAAAGAGGTAGATAGATATAAAATGTACCTGGCAATGGAAATGTGAACCTAGGGGATAACAAACATGTGATGTGAACAGATCCTGAGAGATGGCTGCATCCATCCAGCAGCTGTGCTGCTTTGTTTTCAGTAGAAAGCAGCAGCTCTCCAACATAAAGTCTCTTTAACCCATTGTTTTAGCATAGAAAATGTAGGAAGAGACTTCCAATAAATACTACATGGCAGATTATATTGGACCAACCCAAATGCAGTTTTAGACTTAAAATCTGGGCTGCTATTTTCCAGTGTCATCTCCTGACAGTAGCAGCTGTAAATGCTTGTACTACTTGCCGTAGAACCAGTGGGATAAAACATGCTATAAAAATGTAAAATGTTATATTATAACCTTTGTGGTTGACAGAGAAATAACTTTTTGAATCAAGAGTTATTCTGTGTGCGTTCTGTTGGCATTGAGTAACATGGCTGTATACTGCATCTGAGGACGCCAGAACTTTTAGTCCCATCCACATAAGACTGCCAATCAAGCATACCTGTCATATGCAGAAATAGGTTCCACTTGGTAAATATTTGGAAGAGCATGGTCCAATGAACATGGCACTGCACTAAGGACCTTTTTCTGACTTCTGGCTCTGCCATTGACCTACCATGTGACTTTAGGCAAGTTATTTTACCTCTCTATGGGTACGTCTAGACTACATGCCTCTGGCGACAGAGGCA